CTGATTCTGAGAAAGATTACATTAACTTGTCCAAATCAGAGTGACAGAACCAGGATTCAAATTTAGGTTGTTTTTCCTTGTTAACCATGCTGTTTGCACTGTGCCTTGGAAGATAGCTTAACGACATTTGGGAAAAAAAAGATCTATGGAAAAAGTCAGCAGGACAGTGTGAACAATTAATTCATTTAACACTACTAAGTTCCAGGTAAGTTGTCACCTATTTTACTTTGTTCAGTTAGTTCAGACCCAGACTATTACTTATATTTGTGGTTACTACACTTTTAAAGGATACCATTTTGGGCTGGAGAGGTTAGTCAGAGGTAGAGCACTTGCCTAGCATGTGCAAGGCAAACCAGGGTTTGATCCCAAATGCCATACAAAAACTGTGTGGGAGTTCCGTTTCATCTTTGTCATTGTCAATAGTAGCTGGAACTGAGTGTTTATGGAAAACACCTTGGAAGCCAGCCTCAAATATACCATTCCCCGCACTAAGTTGGTAATCATAAGACAAAACTACAAACAGGAATCTGCAAAGTGTTGGAACTCTAGATGCCCCTGTAGAGTCACTACTGCTTAGCTCTACCTTCCACGTTTGCTTTGTTTACTTTGTTTATTGTCTTTTTGATATACTTACATAAAATAAAAGGTAGCTACTATAATTGGTTTCCTTACATTGTTGACCTTCAAAATGTGCTAAGGCCAATAATAAAAATATATGACTTTTTGCTAACAAAAAAGGCACTCCGTAAATTTTGTTTTTATTAAAAATAAATCAACTTTGAGGCTTAGGATACAGAACTACAGTGTTTTAATTTCAAGTGCATTGAGTTTTCATGATTTGCGAATTGCTACAGACTGAAGCATTGAAAGCGGACTGAGTATCTGCAGACGGGAGGCATCTGCAGTGTCCAGCTGTAGCATGATATTCCAGGGAGCGCATGGGCCAGGCACAGCAGCATTGCAGTTTGAGAGCTGCTCCGCTTTTGCTTTTGCTTACTCTTATGGAGGGTTTTTTAAACATTTAACTTGATGTCATATGAACTAAAAAATTGGTAGCTCTCTCTGCAGGCTGCTAAAAGTCAGCAGAGAATGGAACAGTAAAAGGGCTCAGCATGAAGATCTGTGCAGCACATCTCCCAGGCTCCAGTTAGCAGCCCCCTGGTGCCACAGTTTTCCTTTGCTTTTAAATGGTTATGTTTTCATCAGGGTCCTGCTGTCCTGAAAAGGATGTGCTGGCAATTGGTTGATATATATCTCATGGAATATTAACCAGACATTGAATTAGCCAATCCGATTAATGTCCTGCCTTGCAGTATTGTCAGCATAGGGACTAAAGGAAACTTCAAAAGTTCTGCTTTTCTATTACATAGGTCTTTATATCTTCTTGATAATTTGTATTTGTTTGTGTTATTTGCCTACAGGGAAGAAGGAACTCATATATTTATCCAGACTAAATGGATAAATTATAGGGCTGATAAAAAATAACTTTTGTGAGATATTAGACGGATTTTAATTTATTGCTTGTTTTTAACCTGATGAGCTGAGTAATGACACCTTGCATGCTCTTGACTTGGGCTGCATTTAAGTCCGCTTTCTTGATTCCATGCATTTCACACGTTGACTGGTCAGAGGCTAAGCTGGTAGTCCTTCAGGTCGCTGCACATACAGCACTCTAAAGCAAAGAAAACTTTTCTCAGTGATAAGCATTTTAAACCTTGGATTATCATTTGAAATACTTTTTTCACATGTCATTAAAAAAAACCCTGAATATTAAAAGATACAAGAACAACATTGATTATGCCTACTATTGCTGAGTAGGTTTTGCTTGTTGCTGTCTTTAAGTTGGGAGTCATCCTTCACTCTGCTGATTGATATCTAACCACTGAGCAAGCCTCTGGACTCTTATCTTAAAACATGTTGAAGAAGCAACCTCTTCTCACATTCTTCCACTCCAGTAGAGTGGAAGGTAAGGAGTGAGGGCTCTGGTATCAGGGTTGGGTTTGAATTCTGGATCTGCTGCTTACTAGTTATGAGTCCTTGGGGAAGTTACTCTCTGTCTCAGTTTTCTCATATATAAGATGAAAACAAGAAAGTAATGGCTTACATTATATGCCTGTTGTTAACATTGTATGTACAGCTTTTGAGCAGGGGCTGATAATATGGACAAAGTTAGTGACATGTAACAGTCATTGTCACTGTCATCCATTATTACCACAAGCTGTAAAATGACCATTTTAGGAGACACATCTATGTCAGTTTTTTGTGACAAAAACATGAGGAAAAAAATTAAAAGGAAGATGTATTTATTTTGGCTCAGAGTTTTAGGGATTTCAGTCAATGGTCACTTGGCTCTGTTGCTTCTGAGCCCGTGAGTGGTGAGGCAGCGCTTCATGGTGGGGAGAATGGATGAGGCAAAGTGGTTCACCTCATGGCACACAGCAGGCAGAGAGAAAGACGAGCCAGGGCAAGATGCAGCCCCAAGGACACATTCCCGCTTCCTCCAACTAGGCCCCACCAAGTCTCTCGCGCCTTCCAAAATAGTGCCACAAGCTGGGGACCACGCATGAGCAAAAGTAGATCGTGTAACTGTCTGAAAAGCCTCTAACATTTTCCAGTTAACTTGAAGCAGAATCCCAAGTCCTCACCATTGTCAGCTGTGGTCAGGGCCCTGTGTGATACGACTCTAGTAGGCCTCTGGCCTCCTTCCAGGGTTTCTCTGCTTTTCTTCCTCTTAGGCTTTGTTCAGAGGCCTAACTCTTGTTTGTACTCTTCCCTGCTCTGCCCCACACCCCCCTCCCCGGTCCTTTAATTTTCCCACTTTAGTTTTCTTCCAGCACTCAGCACAGCTAGAAATACAAGCTCTAAAAGAACAGGTACTTCACCTGTCTTGTTCCATGCTTGTATCACCAGCACCTACACAGTGTCTATACCTAGTACTTGCTTTACATGTTTGTGGAATGGATACATGAATGAAACTCACTGCGGAGTCTCTTCTGATCCTTTATGCTTTCAAATGTATTAAACAGAGAGCTTGCATAACTATTGTCAATGTAAAGTCAAATCTAGTTAATACCATAAAGTCTTTCTATGGGGTTTTATAAAAATTACCCAGTAAAAGACAACAGTGAACTGCAACAGGATCATTTGGCTTCTCTGAGACTCTGCTGTCCAGTTCCTAAAACACTGGCAGGACCATATGTCCCTGGACCCCTGGGGCCCAGAGGAGTTTCCCAGTTGATGAAAGAGGAAAGAGAGTTTTGACTAGGAGGAGTCTGGCTCCCCCTACTTGCACTAGTGCAGTTTTGTTTCTGTTTTCTCTATATATTGGGGATGAAATTTGATTTGAAAAAAAAACAGTCTACTTTGTGAAAGCTTTAAAAACCATGGAATTAGTAGAACACAAAAGTTATTTTTAGTGCAGTTCTGATTCAGATAGCTTCATTTTTTTAAAATAATATTGTTTCTTCATCATTCTGTACTCCCTCTCCCACAGAAATCACCATTGAATAGTGTTTAAGTATCCTAAAGAAATATGTGCAATTATGTACCAATTAAAATTATTGATTAGAAAGAATACACTGTGAATTTCCTAAGAGATAATAAGGCATGTAGATAAATAACGAGACTGTCATCACCAAGACTGATTTTCATGAAACCAGAGTCCTGTCTATATGCTTACCATAAACTGCCCATTGCTTACCATGGTGCCTGATACAGAGCTTATTCAGTAAATATTTCATAGTTAAATTGATGAGTGGATATTTGAAGAGAACAAAAATTTACCCTTAAGGACAATACATTATTTTGTAATAACAGGTGAAAACATTGGAATGTTTGCATATGAATCTGTCCTTTTTCATTATGATGTTTTTTAAATACCATATTGTAATAGACCATTTAAAAACACTGTTTACTAAGTGGCCAATTTATTGCACCTACCTTTAATTCGTCATGATTCTGTGTTATTTAAAATGTAAACCATTTGCAAGCCTTCCAGCATGCTTGAGTTTAGGTGACTCAGTGCATTCCTTCACTGCTTGTGAGAGTATTCTGAAATGGTTTGAGCCTATGCTCTCTGCCTTCTTCAGAGCATGGTCATAGACATTTCAAACAGTTGGAAAAAATATATAAAATATAAAACTGAAGTATTCAACATGATTTTCTTTCTTTTAAAAACCCTTTTTTGTCTGATTTTGCATTTAAAGTAGGATCTTTGTAGAATGTTGGCTTTCAGATAAAGAGTCCTTTTTTGTTTTTATCAGGAAATTATACTGTGGGAGGTACTCAAGGTAATAATAATTTGGGGCAACTTTGAGACCACTGTAGGTCATTAACTTTCCAATTTGGCAGACCTGCTTGAAGTTGATAGAAAAAGTTACTGAGATTGCAAAACCATTTTAGTTGAGATAGTTTAAAGTGAAAGCAATGTAATATTAAGAAACTATAAACTACTAACCTGCAGAGTTGTGCTAGGAATGAGAATGACAGCTTCTCACCCTGCACATTGCCTAATAAGATTTTGAGGTTTGGTACATTTTAGTATCATCACTCTAAAAATTACTCCTATCAGCCACTAACATGCTGTAGTATGACAGTGTGTATATACCATGGCAAACCCCATTTAAGAATAAATACACACTTTTAAAAAATGAAGGATAGGAAGGTAAAATAGGTCCTGTCCAAGGATAGATACCAGTGAGAGGGGAGAGGGTGAAGGGGGATAAATATGGTCATATACTGAAAATAGAGTAATGAAACCTGTTGAAATTGTCCTAAGAAGCGGGGGGAGAACAGTGGAGGGAATGAACCTAATTAAGATACATTGTAAGCATATATGTAAGTGTCACAATGAAATCCCCCTGTACAACTAATGCATGCTTAATAAAAATGTAAAAAAAAGATAGGCAGGGATATTGTGAGAACTGAAAAAAAAAAGTGTGTATATGTATGAATATCAGTGCACAATTTGGATATTATTTACTCATGTATTTGTTTTACTTATGAATTCATCTTTCCCTTTAGGTAAAGAGGATGAATATCCAAAGAAACCTTTGGGGCAGCTTCCACCTGAATTTCATTCTGGAGGTACTAATCACCTGAGCAATGGACAAAGAAGTGTTGGCAGACCCAGTCCCCATCTAAGCAGCAGAAGAGAAAGTGGGTCCTCACCTCACAAAAAACATGAGCATTCCCCTCACCATCACAGTAGAGCTGGTACACCAGAAAGAGTTCAGCAGCTAAGGCGGAAATCGGTGGATGAGGATAGTAAAAACCCGAAAGATGAAGCAAAGTTTCAAAGAAAACCTTCATCAGGTCCACAAGACAATTCCAGACACTATAATCATGCAGCTGCTAACCAAAATAGCAATGCTACTTCAAATATCAGGAAGGAATTTATGCCCAAGTGGAATAAACCATCAGATATTTCAGCTCTTGAAAGAACTGCCAAGTATGCCATTGAAGGCAGGAGTAGATCACTGCACCCCACCCTAACAGTCACCGTCCCAAGTTCTGCTGATACCCGAGTCTCAAATGTAAGGCAAAAGATGAAGGTTTTGGATGCTGGTGATGGGAAGCGGGGCTCCAATGCATCACAGTATGATAACGTGCCTGGGAGTGAAAATGAAAATGGAGGTTCCGTTGAAGATGCCTCTGCTTTCTCCCAAAGTCCACGGAACGTCGTTCACTCTAACAGTCCAAGAAAGCATGCTGAGCCAAGTTCTAGTTCATCAAAAATGTCCAACAAGTTTACTTTTAAAGTGCAGCTTCCAAGCTATATAAGATACCCATCCCAGTTAGAAGGGGAAGACCGAGGGACTGTGCATCCACCCTCTTACAGCAATCCCCCTGTTTACCATGGAAATTCTCCAAAACACGTTCCCACTGCTAACAGCAGCTCTGGATCCCCTCAGATCAGCCCTGGGGCTCAAATGAATCTTTCCAGGAGACCTTATGGTTCTACTCTTTCAGTTGATACTTCCCCAGAAAAATCTTTCAGCCGCCCAACTCCTATTGTTCTGCCCTCTAGTCGAATAGAAGTCCTTCCTGTTGACATTGGTGCTGGGGGGTATGCAGGCCATTCAGGATCACCAAAGAATGGAAATTTCATCATTCCTCCAGTGGATTATTTGCCAGAGAACAGAAAGTGGTCAGAAGCTAGTTATACATACAGACCTGAGATACATGGACCATCATGGACTCGAGATGCTAGTCGTAGCCATTTAAGCAATTTACCAAAATATGCACCCTTTCAACATGTGCCCTTTCAAGACCATAATCTCCCAGCAGTTTCAGTAGATAGTCCTGTGCGGTATAAAATGTCACCAGCTGTAGAAGATGCCAGTCCAGCTGGGTATCAGTATGCAGGGCCCTCGCCTCCAGCATATCACTACAGAAACCGAGAAGGGCTTTCTGTTCAAGAATCAGTATTGCTGTGAGAGTTTTTCTCTTCTCTCTGAAGACAAGAGAATAGAAACCATACAAAACCTACATTGCTATGTTTATACTTGCCAAAGCAGTATTTTATACTATTGTAAACAACTTGCACAATTCTAATGTATGCTAGTAATAAGAATGTATGTAGATGCTGCTTAAGATGAGCATTTTGAATTGCATCATCACTGAACCTGTTAAAAGAATTTAACCCGGAAACATAGCAATAGCATTTAGGGATGCACGAACAATTATGATTCTTTACTCAGTTTCATTCATATCTTTCTCCAAACCTGAACATTTTTATCTGTTGGCCCATTCTACTTTGACTGATGTTACGGAGCACTGAAAAACTGTAGAGGAGATATTTTTAAGGCTATATGTAGTTTGTCTTTCATAAACACTATAGCATCTGTGCATACACATTTGAATGCAGAACTGAAGAAATGGTTTTTAAAACTACTTTTAATGTAGAACCACAGAATAATGTTAATCTTTTTTTCCTTAACTTATCTTTCAGTTCAGTTTTCTGCCCGTATTTTTAACCAGGCCCTAAACTGCCTAAAGCATTTGCCCTGACTTTATTAATACAGCATCTCAGCAAATGCTCACCATTCTCTTTCAGTTGCTGCCATTTTATTTCCATGTGAAGACTGAAGGCATTGGAGAGGAAGGCTAACTAATTAATGGTGCTTAAAAATCAGGGCAGTTAATGTAAGTTTATGGCCGGAGGTGCAGCCCTGCTTATATCCTTTTTCACCAGATCAGTCTTAGTGCTTTTGTCACCTTGACTCTGGTTTGGCTCTTGCACAACTCAGAGTGCAGTATTTCTCACCAGATGCAAAGGAGATGCTATTGCACAGCTCTCCAGAGAGCCTATTCATCATGCAGCGCTCAGAGTGGCAGCAGAAGGAATGCCTTTGAAGCTCCTTTGAAAGCAGGGTTAAGATATGGTTACTTCTCACTCTGCCTCTTAAATTCTTACAGGGCCTTAGGAAGAGCTGGCCCCAAGGTGTCTGTTTGCAGGGTCTTTTTCCTTCCTGGCACTCTTTCTTGAAGAATATTATCCATGTTAAAATTATAGAAAAAACCCATAATTATTAATAGGCATCTAGGATTTTGATCTTTTAAAAAAAATACAGTGTGATTGTTTTACTTCTGAATTTTTTTTCCCTTTTCAGTGAAAAAATTCAGGTTAATGGTTAAAAAACAAATCAGTGATGTCTTTAAAAATATTCTATTACACTACAGTTGCCAAAACACTGACAAAGTTTTGGGTACTCTAAGAAAAGATGACTTTGTGTTTAATTGGAGTTCTTGTTTTCAGCGTTACCTAACAGAAGGTAGAAAGTCTAATGTTGATGGCTCTTCCTGTTGCAAGTTGGGGCTTTAAACTTTTGAGGTACAAAAATATGTCCTAAAAATGAAAGTAACATTTGTTTAGCTAGTGAATGTGACAATATCTTAATGTGTACAATGAGTCGATGTAATTTTAATCAACTTGGTGATGATGTTATTAAATGACAAAACAAATGCAGTGTATTAAAACTAAACACTACACTGAAACTGAAACAAAATCCTGGTGATGTAACTGGGCTCGATTTAGATCATGTGGAAGCTGAGAAATAAATGTGTATAAAAATGTAGATGAGGATATTAATTCCAATTTTTAAACTATGATTCTGTGACTTGTAATTGACCAAGCTGTACAATTTAGTTTGTGATAGCAGCACCTGAGCTGTTCCAAAAAATATATATCAACAGTGGTAAATATTGTAGATTTTTATATATATATGCTATATATATATATATGCTATATATACACACACACACACACACACACACACACACACACTATTTTCTTATGTCATCTATGACATTTTTATCTGTATGCTTTTTTTGATGTGACTGGTTTTAACATGCTAAAAGTAACAAGAATATGTTGTTTTGTGTCTTCTATGTGCATTTTTTCAAATGGCAAAAGTGCCACATCCCTGATGCTTCTAAGGCTAATTCTCTTCTGATTGGGAAGATGTGGCCCAGTGCTCACCCCAGGGGTTATGCAATTCTGTGTTGTAGGTTTTATTAATTTCCAGTAAGACTGTATTTAGAATTACATCACCTTTCCTTTATTTTGTGACATTATTAATGATAATGAGATATTATTTCTAGTCTTCCCCATTATAAAATGTTCTCTATGTTAGTGTTTTAAGTAGGAAATTTTACTTTGAAATTATTTTGCCACCATGCAATTTTACTCCTTCAAATTTATTTTTTAATAAAAGGTAAATCAAAATTATAATACTGGCAGAGTGGGTCACATATATCTGTGAAGAAGATTTTGTAATGATTTTCAAGGTGTGGAGACCGGTTTACTCTGTAACCGCATGTACTCCATGTATTTGCCATAGTAAGTCTTTTCTTCGTGACACTTTTGCCCATTTATTTAGTGCTTAGTTTAAAACGTTAGAGAAATTAGATCCAGGCTCTCAAAGGGTTTTAAAACTTTACCCTTTCATGTGTTTTTTTTGTTTTTTTTTAAATAGAATTTTTTAAATGGACAGCTTCTTAACTATGAGAGGTATATATAAGTTCAGATATCAAAATATCAATGATAGAATGAGATCAAAAGAGATTCAGTCAATAGGACCATTTTGGAGAAGAAAGATGTTACAGTACAAAACTGTTAACTTTTTCCATGTTAAGAATACTTTAATACTGAATGTTGTCATGCAGACTATAATTTTAAAGTAGACTCTCATACTCACTTTACATTTCTTGGTTCCCATCCTACTACAAGCACAGAAACTGTGCCTATTCAGTACTCTACTAAGGTCTCTTCATTTTCAGGATTAGGGAACAACATACCCTGTCTAATAGGGTTTTACTCACAGAGGACTTATAGCTTCCTCTTCTGGAAATAAGGTGATTATTCTGTTATCTTTTGGATTCACACCTTTATTTTGGTATGATTTCAGTATTGATGGTGTGTATGCAACCTTAGTCTTACTAAGATTATGGTCTAGGGATTTTCTTTTTGTTGTTGTGGCTCTAAATTTTCCCTTGGTGGATTTTAAATGTCTATATTCAATATGAATACTGATGCTTATTGACCAAATAGAAGGGGTCAAGCTTTACTTATAAGATGACCCAAGGTATTGAGAATAGGAGAAAGGAATCCATTTAACATTTACTTACACATTTTATTTTCAAAAGAAATTTTAATTACCCATAAATCTAAGCAAAACTGCCACCATCTTTTAGATGTGAAGACCACGAAAACTAATTTTAGATTTCTTAAGAGTAGATCTTGCTATTGTTTAGAATTGTTTGGTTAACTTAAATTTTTTTTTCCATTTTAAGTCAGAATATCTTTGGTAGAACAAGTCATCAGATAATTGTATTTCCCCCATAACTTAAAGTTTAATCGTTAAATTAGTCAATTAAGCTCTTTTAAAAAGTTGTCTTTTTAAAGTTGTCTTATATTTTCACTATACGATAGCTCAGAAGTTCTTAACAGATCAGAAGTTTCAGAGCTCAGATACTTGTGTGTCAGGAAAGTCATGAAAATTTCCACTGCAAAGATGAACATGACTGGCCCTCACTGTACATTTTGATGACATGCTTCCAGTCATAAACACTGGACGGCTTCAAACGGAAAGTGGTGTGACCCTGTAACTTTCATTTCCTCACATTAGTCCTTCAAAACAGGTGGAGCCTTACTTAGTATGATTTCATTTCCTAGACAACCTCTGCCTCTCATTTTCCTTATGTGACATGCTTTAAAAAAAAAATCCTCACTATTTGACAACCTTAGAACTGAGGACATGCTGAAGAGCGTGCTCCTTCTTTGACCAGTCAGCACTTCCCGGCATCTACAAGCACGGGGACCGCATGCGGCCCACACCTCAGGATGCTGTGGGCCTTGTGATCTGAGGTGGGGCAGCACAGAGAGGCCTAGAATGAATCCAGCTCGAGAGCTCAGGAAGCCTAGAGAGGGAGTTGCCTCAGTTTACTAGACTAACAAGAGGCCGGGAGGAAGGGCCATCTCTGCAGAGGGGACGGAGGAGAAGAGCAACTTCCATGCTTTAGTCTTCGTGGGAAGACTCTCCTGTGATGGTCTTTGTGCTGAGCGTGCAAAGGAGGGAGAAATTCCACAGAGACCACAACATGGAGGGCCTCAGAGGCAACTCACTGTGAGGCATGTACAGATGGGAAAGTGAAGGCACAAGCTTAAGAAACTTGTTCCTAGTGACACAGCAGCTAAGTAGAGCCAGGACCTCAATCCTCAACCTGATTTCCTGCCCTGGACCAATTTAAGGAGCTGTAATTTACCTATCATAAAATTGGTGCATCTCAGGTTTATAATTAGAAAACTTTTATTAATTATACAGTTAACCACAACTAATCTTAGAACATTTCCATCACCTCAGAAGGTCTCACGTCCCATTGCTGCACCACTGATCCACTTTGTCCTGATTTGCTCTTTCTGGACTTTAATATAGATGGAATCAGGCAATGTGTGTCTTTTGTATCTGGCTTATTTTACTTTGCAGTGTTATGAGGTTTATCCATGTTGTAGCATGTATCCATGATTGCTATCATTTCTGTTTCTGAATAGTATTCCGTTGTATGGCCGTGTCACATTTTGTTCAGTCATCGGTTGTAGATGTGTATATTGTTTGCACATGCTGTTGTGACGTGTGTGCAAGTCTTTATGTGGACATACGTTTAACTTTTTAAGAAACCTCCAGACTATGTTCTGAAGCAGCTGTACCATCTTGTGCTTCTGCTGGCAGTGGTAGAGGGTTCTGGTTTCTCCACATCCTCACCAACACATATGATTATCTGACTTTTTTATTTTACCCATCCTAGTAGATGTGAAGTGTATCTCATTGTGGCTTTGATCTTCCTTTCCCTTATGGCTATGTTTAATATCTTTTCGTGTGCTTGTGGGCCAATTGTCTATCTTCAGAAATACGGCAGATCTTTATCTTTTAAGTTTTTTTCTCATGTTTTAATCGAGTTGTTTACTTATTGTTGAAATAGAGCGCTTCATATATTCTGGATACACGTCTGACTACAGACAGATGTTTTCTCCCAGCCCACCACTTGTCTTTGATTTCTTAAGATGTCTTTTGAAGTGCACATTTTTAATTTTAATGAAGTCCAGTTTACTAGTTTTTCTTACATGGATTGTGCTTTGGGTACTGTATTTCTCTGCTTAACTTGGGGTCACAAAGATTTTTCTCCTATGTTTTATTCTTGAAATGTTACAGTTTTAGCTCTTAAAATTTAGGCCTATGAGCCCATTTCTAATTATTTTTTATATGGTGTAAGGATATCAGTTCTGATGGTTGGCCAATACTTTCATTACCATGTGTTTAAAAAACTATTTTCCCCCATTGTACTTTTGTCAAAAGTCAATTGAATGAGACTTAATCCCCACCAAGGCAAACAAACACCCAGTCATTTGAACAAATGTTTAATAAGTTTTAAGATCAGGAAATGTATGTTCTCCAACTTCATTCATTTTTGTATGTGCATAGATGGGTACCTTTCATACTGGGCTGTTCTGGGTCCTTTGCATTTCTATATGAATGTTAAGGTCTGCTCTTTGGTTTCTGCAAAAACAAGCCTGCTGGGATTTTGATAGGGATTATTTTGCATCTGTAGATCAGTTCAGGAAGATTATCATCTTGACACTGAGTCTTTCGATCTATAGATTGTCTCTCCATTTATTTTGAAATCTTTCATTTCCTTCAGCAATGTTTTGTAGTAAGTTTCAGACTGTGTCTTGCATTTCTTTGGCTAAAACTTTTCCTATTTTAATCTCTTGTGGATGGAACTGTTTTCTTCAAAGCCTGTGCTCTGAAACATCACACTCTTCTGTCGAAGGAGAAGGGTAGTTCCCGGGCATACGGAGTTTCCATGGGGCTGAGAGTCAGGTGAGGAGCCCAGAGGTAACGGTGGGAAACATGGAAAGCACACCTGGTACCAATTGAGGAGCCAGGCTGAAGGAGCAGGCTCTCCAAGAAGGAGCAGTTGATCGGCCGGCCGTATGAAATGCAGCAGCAAAGCACAACGATGTGGGGCTGAGAAGTCTCTTTGAATTTGACAGTTAGCTCTTTGCTGTCATGCTGCCCTCCCTACAACCACCATCAGAGTGCAGTGGTCACTGGCACAAGTAGGAGGTGACAGAGGCTCTGGAAAGATTTGGATGAGTCCAGATGGACAGTTACTGGCAAGTGGTTGGAGTGAAGCATGGGCAGGGAGGAGGGTGTTTGAGATGGAGACAGTGCTGACTGAGAGCAGTTTGGCTTCACAGTTGTCAACTACCTCTACAAGTCATCCCTTGGCTTTATTCCAGTCTGTTACTTTGTGTACTCACAAGTATTAAAACACCAATTATTAAACTTCCTATAACTCTTGAGTTGGCTTTATTTGGAGGAAAAGCACAGTATGACTGAAGCAGGCAGCTGGAGAACCACGACCTGCTTGTGAGCGCCATGGAACAGTTAAATGGTGCACGCAGGGGAGACATGGCTTAGGAACAGCGGGGTGCTGGGGTGGAGAGGTGGGCTCCTCTACAAGCTCCTTATGGACTAGCAATGGGCCGATGGGCCGTGCTGCCAGGAGTTAATCAGCTCTGCCACAGTCATGGTGTGAGTTTGGGCAGGTTTTACTGAGCCCCTCTGGG